GCCCTCCGGCCCGCGGCGGGCAGGCGCAGAGGGGCGCACCGAGGAGTTCCAGGCCTCGAAACGGAGCTGTCTGGAGGCAGCGGGGGATGCGGTGTGTGCTCTTCCCGCCTTCTTTCCGCAACTCTTTCTCTCTCCGGTTCTGCATTACTCAAACCTTCCTCCTCCGTTTCTCCCTTGTCTTCGTGTTTGTCCCCTTCTCCCGCGGACTGTTGCCTACAGAACCGCGTATCTAGGCAAATGCACAGGCAAGGCCTTGGCGTGCCTCTTTTCAGGGCTTGGCAAGGTGCATGTAGTGACCAAAACAGGAGCCCCATTTCACTGTCCGCTTTTGCTGCAATAAAAGCTTAACCCTGGCCGAGGTTCCCACCACTCTGCTGTGTTACAGAGCTCCAATCACTTTTCAACAAAACTCCTACCGGCGCAGGCGGGAGGTGCATGCTGCCAGCAGACTCTGCCTGCTGATCTCTTTCTCCCTTTCCCTCTTGCCCACTGGAAAGCAGTAAGAGGAAGGAGAGGTTACCTTTACTGCATGCTCTGCTGGCTCCCTGTAGCAGAGAGGGGACATGACAGGGCACAATTAGCACAATTAGGGAGCGAGTAGAGAAGTTCAGCAGCAGCATCTTTGAAATGAAGAAGCTGACAGCATTTTGCTGTCCTAACAACTCAGGTTTGGCAATTCTAAAGCAGCACTCTCAAGCACCGGAAAGCAAAACACAGTTACTTTGAAGGTTTTCACACTTTATCTCTGGCACTGCTGCTAAGAAACCTTTGGGTGCTTGGGAAATTCAGTGGCACTGGCCTACTTTTTGCCAGTAATAAAGCAGCAGGATGGTCCTCCTTAGGAAATGGTGATCAAAGCCACCAAGTTGTAGGACAGTCGTTTATATCTGAACCCTTTCCTAAGTTACTACAGCTTCTACTACTCCCCTTTGCCCTCCGCAGTCGCTAACTGCCTTGTAACTTCCTTTGTGATCCATCTCACTGTAAACTGCACTGCAGTCCCTAGCGTCCCTGTTATGAGAAAGAAATCTTTGTTAATGGGTTTATAACTTAAGAACCTCAGCTGAAATAAGAAACTATCTTTGACAGTGGAGTATTTCGTTCACAAGCATTTTCATGGGGAAAAGGAAAAAAATAATTAAAAACTTCCTACCCTGGTAAGTTAAAATGTGCACTTACATACATGCAATAACAATTTCCTTTGATATATCTATGTATTTTAGAAGACGACCTACAAAAATACATTGACAAAGAATGGTTGAGTGGGGAAAAGAATTCTGCAGAAACTCTTATAAAGCAAACTCCCTTCTCTAAAGAAATTATTATAGTTTGAATTGATTACAGACTTACTTAGTATCTGCTTACTCAATCCAAATGTTTGTTCAGTAAGCAGTAACCAATCTAAAATTATTCCAAAAAACCCAGACTCCCAAACTTACAAGGTATTAAGCTCTGACAACCTTTTCACTGCCACTGTATTTTGGAATCTGCTTGTAAGAAAGCAATCTTGTAGATATGCACATATAAAACGCCTTACATTTTATATAGTATGGGATTTACTTCCTCCTACTTAACATTCTGAAAGCTTTTCTATTTTTTAAATATTCACTGTCCTTTGGAGACTTCACAACACACTTTAATTTAAATATTCTTATTATGCCAGAGTTTCTACTGAAAACTAGGAAATCTACAGTAACACTAAGCTGTTCCACAGTGCTTTAAGTATCTCAATTACTCATTTCATCCGATGGAAACCTAGCCAAAGCAAGCAAGATTTGAATTTATTCTCCATTACTGAAATCACAGATTTTTCACAAATGAAATTTTACAGTATTTCATACACTGAAAACTACAGTAAGTGCAGTATTAAAAAGCAGAAAAGATGTAAGCCATTGCAAAGTCTTTGTAATAGATTTAAAAATACCTATGCCACATCACTCCTTTTTGATTCAAGAGGCTAATTCTTGATTATAAAATTTTTCATAAAATTCCAAGTCTTTTATGTTTAAGGATGGTTTTACAGTCCTCAATGATTTTACAAAATGCTCATGTTTTACAGCAGTTGCTTCAAGTCCATTCTCTTGCAATGCCAACAAAGCAGCCTTTAAAAGAAAAAAAAAAAAAGAAACCACTTGAAGTGCTTATCATGTTTTAAGTTGCAAAGAAGTTATTGTAAGTATTCTAAAACATTTTACATGAAACCAAATTTTAGGTAAAGCATCTGAAAAGTATAGTTTATTATATTATACATTATTATTTATATGGTATAATTTATGGTTATTTAACAATAGATAAACATCAGATAAGATTACTATAACTTTTTCATTCACTTTTTTGCCTGGATTAGGCAATATATCTTTGATCACTCATATTTTTGGATTTTCTTCGTAGTCTTCTCTCTTTTATATAACTTATCTCAAATACTTACAGATTTCTCTTCTCAATTTTTTTCTCTCTAGCCTTGACAGTACATGCTAATTTCAGCTAAAAATGCCGCAGTTGCTTGCAATACACAGAATACAATTCATCTAATGTGAGCTTGGATTAGAAAGGGCCATGTGAAACAAACGGTAGTACAGTTCCTTAACTTCCAGTAAATTATTACAGAAAGCCTTTATTCTTATTTGGCTTTTTTATTTAAAGAATTAACCCTTGTTCAGTTCTTCTGTTTTACTCATTCTCTTTACATTTTCATTACAAACTGTGAAAGAATCCATACTACAGATGGCTTGGTAACACCTATGAGTTAGCTCTCTTTTTTCATTGGAAGGTTTCATTTACAGTTTATTTCACAGATTAACCATGAATATTTCTTACCTCCTTGCACAGATTTTCAATATCAGCTCCAGAGAAGAAGTCTGTTAGGACTGCCACATCTTGTAATGACACATCATTATCTAACGGAATTTTTTCTGTGCAGATTTTCAAAATGGAAAGCCTTCCCTGTAAGTTGGTACATATTATAAAAGAAAACAAAAAAACCCAAACAAACCATTAATCCCTCTCCAAAGCAGTACCAAGTTTGAAATTAGAACTAAGGAAAATCCAGAAGAGTACCAAAACTACATGTTTTTGGTGGAAGAGTGATTAAAATGCTATTAATGGAAATAACCATAAGAATAAGTATTATCTCATATATTAAAGGCTGTTGTTCAGTTACTCATTGATGAAAACACAGTATTTTAGATTGAAGAGTCCATATTTGGCCTGCTTTGGGTGAACTCTTTTTTTTTGGGAAGCTCAGGACAAGTAGCTACACTACCCTTGGGAACAGGGCACAAGAATGATTTGAAGCAAGGACAGACAACTTGTTATGGTACTTCCTGAACTGCAGCTTGAATTTGTAAATACAGAATTATTCCAGATTTTGTCTGTTTTCTATATGCAATAGTATAACTACATACAGCAGTTAAAATGTTACTGGTGTTTAAATTACAAATGTAATTATTCCTTTTTAAACTTCTTCATTGTACCTTCAGTTTGGTGACTGATCTTCAGTGAATCATCCATCAATTGTTAAATATATTATAGGAATATGCCTCCTTTGCTCTTAAAGTAAAGTATGCTGGCAATTAACATCTCTCCATTTAAAGCCATGTATGGATTTGTAATACATCACCTTCAGATCTGGAGGTGGAATATAGATCACCTTGTCTAGCCTTCCAGGACGCAATAAGGCATCATCCAACATATCTGGTCTATTTGTTGCAGCAACTACCATGAAATCTCTGTTCAAAGTTTCCTGAAACTCTAACTGAGTAAGAGATGATATAAACGAATTAGTGCAACATGGTTAAGATTAGATAATATCTAAAAACTACTAATGAGAAAAGGGGAAGGGTGAAAAGATGATGTATCTTTACATGTAGGTATTCTCCTTTCAATATTAATATTTTATTTTTCTTGAGGTAAAAAATGCTTTGGTGCAGGCCAGATCAGATGACAAGGAAGAAATATAGTTAGTATCTGCTTTGACAATAAATACAGACTTTTCTTTGGTAAGATTGTAACCTTTTGTAAGACCTTTTATATGCAAAAATTCATTATCCTGCAATTCTGAAACTGTTTTCTTCAATTTTCCCCCAAAGAGCATCATAGTATGAAGACAGAAATTTAAATACAGAAAAGCTAAATATTAAATGTTGTGAACAATTCATTGAAAAGTCCAGCTGCAACTTTTTGTTTAAATAAGTAACTGATCATAACTGTACTGTTTTTGTATGAAGTATGTATGAGAAAGCACTGCAAATGAAGTAGGGGAAATGCTCATAAAAAGTAAGTTCAGGAAGGAACCTGTATAATAGTAAAAATAGCACAATTAGTCTAAAAAATTACCTTAGTGTCAAGCAAGAGGATTTTTGTGACAGAAGATGAACACCAACTAGTAATGCTCATTAGCCTGTGTGGGTATTTTGTTCAAACTAAGTCTCATTGAGGAACAGTGTATGTAAAAAACAGTTAGCAGCCTATATATGGTATTTCTAAAAACTATAAATTATGACGGAGTAGAAGAGCATCTTGCATATTTTTAAGCTTGAGGATTTTAAATTTAAGCATGAATGCCAACAACTAAAATTTTTGGAACAACTGGATAGCATTTATCATTCTTCCTATATAGAAAAGGGAACATAAATACCTTTCTTTCCTCGTCACTTTGTTCTTGACATTGACCCTCAAGCTGTAGTTTGCTTCCTCTTCTTTCTGTGACTTTCAGCCCAATACCATCCAACTCATTGAGAAGAACAGAAAGAACCCGCTCTGAGACACCATGGCCAGTTTTGCAGTGTGACCGGGATCCCAAGATAGAATCAATCTCATCGAGGAATATTATTGCTGGAGTATTTGCTCTTGCTTGGCGAAAAATCTTTTTTTAATATTAATAAAGTAAAACGTTAATGCATACATTCTATCAGGTAAGGTGAAAACACCTATTTACATATACTCTGTATTTTACTTACTTAACTTTAAAGATACATTCAGAAAGATTCACAAGAGCTGTTCTGGCTTACGTTTACTATAGGCAAATTCTGCTTATCTAAATTCTCAAATGAACTGAAAACAAAAAGGTAGAAATACTTTCAAAGTTTAAAACTGGTATCATTTTAGGGCTAGATTCTCATATATAGTTTATATAAGTGTGAATCTGTAAGCCGTTTCTATTTAATAATCAGATGAGAGCTTTAACCATCATTTTTTCAACAACAAAATTTAGGCCTTACATACTTACAAAAATCAAGCAAAAATAAACTACAGACCTTACACAAATTAAAAACTGTACCTGAGACAAAATCTTCTCTGAATCTCCAACATAAGGTGAGAAAAGGTCAGCACCACTTACAGAGAGAAAGGAACAGTGACAACTTGTGGCGACAGCCTTCACCAGTGTGGTTTTGGCACACCCTGATGGCCCGTAGAGAAGAATACCCTTTGGATGAGACAGGCCCATCCTAGCAAACGCCTGAGGAAATTTCATAGGCCACTCAATACTCTGTCAATACATAAAAAAGGGATGAAATTCTCAGTAATGAAACTAGATTTCATAGGCAATCAATAAAATTGTTGAGCACATTGATTTCAAATTAATGTTTGTACCAAGGAAAGGAAATGGAGAATACTAATTTGGTCTTCCTTCGTATAATGCCCCCCTTCTTAAACTTTCCTCTCAGTCTCAAACAGAGCAAAAGGCAATCCTTGAGAGATGATATGCAAGAGACAAATTCAGGAATGGACAAATTATCTGTCTGCAAAGTGTTTTTCAGCTACTGGAAAATATGCTAATTTTCCCATGATATGACACTTGGTGGTGCTATCTTGTGACTGGAAGATTTCTAACTGACAAACATTGTAATAACTTAATGTAGCATTAAACAAAACATTTAAAATACAATTTATAATCAGGTAATTTGCAAGATAAATCATTTCTATAACGTAGTATACAGAATACCTCAGAGGACATGGTTATTAGAAACTAGCTGTTTAATCTAAATGTATTTTATATGTTACCTGTTTTAACTTTAATTTCACATCTTCGAGACCACCAATTTGCTCCCAAGTGACAGGTTTACACTCTGTTAGTCCAACTGCACTTCGAAAAGAGGATGGTTGAATTTTTTTAAAAGCTTCTTGGAAATCTGTCATGTTAATCACCATTTCAGTCAAATCCTGGAGAAACCCAGATAAAGCATATCAGCAATATTTTTACGGAATAACTTATAAGGCTGCATTAGTATGCAAAACATTTCACAAAAGGCCAAGTGCAACTAATAAAGAAGCAAATTCCTGCCCTAACAAGCTTAAGCACTGCAGACACAAAGATGTAACACAAATAATATAATCTCTTTAATGGCAAGTTTTTATACAGGAAAAAACAACATAAATTAACGTTTTAGAGAATACTATTGTTTTTCCCTAAATTATAGCTCCATTACACAGTGATCTGCTAAATCAAATGGTTGCTAGTTTCAGGGTTACTACACACCAGTTCCGAGATCCTCTTGAATACAAATAAAAATGTTCTAATCCATTTTCACCACATACTGGAGAAAGTAAGGTACTTTATCTCAAATAGGCTAGAAAATACCATTATTAAACTACAGATGCAGTAACAGAACTAAGATGTATTTTACAAAGGAGCTTGCAGTTCTCAAGGCAAATAGGCCATCTACGTATTCATTATTTTCATTTGCCCATCTATTTCTTTCTGGGATACCAGGCTCAAATTATTTCGTTGTTTATTTTCAGTATTTGTAAGGTATCTGAAGGAGACTGAAGTTGTATAAATACGATGTTCTCCTCTTTCCACATCTGAGTGAAGACAGAGGGTTCTACCATTCTCTGTAGATGCTCTGACTCTGGAAATGTTGCAGATCTGGCTTTAAACTTCTGCTCAGCCATTCCAGATGAAAAACCACAGCAAAAATATACCTCACAATTCTTGTAAAAGTCAGAATAGATAGAAAGAATATTAAGAAATAGCAATTCTTTAATTCCATATCTATAATATCTAAGAAGTTAACCTTCTGCACACTGGGCAGTTTTATACCTTGTGTCTGTAACGATGTTATATCCAGCCATACAACCCAAATGATAATATTTATTATTACTAGCAGTTATATATTTATGTGTCAACCTAAACTTTAATTTGCAGTTATTATTAAGAAGTAGAATTGTAAATCGCTGATAGCTTCAAAAGAGAGCTCTGGTGGACGTTATAGTTTAGTCTGCCAAAAAAGACTAAAGTCTCTGCTTTGCACAATCCTAAAAAGATAAGGATGAGGATAAAAAACTTTCGGCAAAGTTTTTCATCCAGAAAGGAGAAAAGAGTCTTTTCAGATGAGAACTGAAAGGACTAGCAAAACGGCATATTTATGTTTATAACACACTTGGTGTTTTTCAGTATTTTAATTTGTGAGTTCTTCAACTTGTTGAGCTTTTCAAGTAAAGCCGAGTATTAATGAGGAAAGGGTGGTACATACTATTAATGACATTCTTCTTGACTAATTTGCAACCATACCAAAGAGCTGTGGAACACAGCCTGCATAGCGGCTTCTCTGCAGAGTGCTGTAAGGTCAGCTCCAACATACCCAGTTGTCATTTCTGCCAGTTTAACCACATCAACATCTATAGAAATCGGCATACTAGATGTAAGCAACTGCAGGATAGATCTTCTTTGCGTAAGTGTTGGTGTCCCAATAATCACCTAAACCAAATATAATAAACAAAAATTTTAAGTAGATATTTTGCTATATTCCTCTTATTTTATAGATCTAGGCAAGCAAGTTTGTCTCTGCTTTATACTGTTTACTGAAGATTTATACATACTTACACTGCAACGAAAGAATTTTACCGGAAACTTATTAGCAGCACTATACAAATGACAAATAGTTAAAACATCCTTCATTTACACTTACTTTCCAGGTGCACAGTGTTTATATAAACAGTTGTTCATAAGACAATGTCAGCTAGTGTCCATCAAGTCCTATTTTAAGGTAGTTTCAACATAAGACATAACACTGAAATAATAATTTCCTTGCATCACAAGGGCTAAATTAGATTCATGCGAAAGAAAAAAAATCAATTAGATAAACACTCATACATTATTAAAAACCTGGTAAAATACTGCCATAAAATATATCTCAATAATCTATTAATCCTGGAAAGTAACAAAAATTATAATTGTGAAAGCACTAAAGAACTTGACCAAACTGGATGACCCAGGAGAGCATTTAGCCAGCGAAATAAACAACACAAGGAAAAGCACTGTGCATTGCATAACTGCATTTGTTCTTTCTTCTTTTGACCATTAGGTTAGCAGAAGTTTTCCAGAGTAGACCTAGCCTCTGTTACTGAAATCTGAATAGAATTGTTGACACAACAGGTTACTAGTTCTCTGTCACAATAAACTTTTAAGGAGCAATGCACAAATCTTCAATCTGGGATTTAAATGAGAAAAATCTAAATGCGCAATGCTAAGCATCTGTAAGCAAAAGAAAACGTTCAAGAACAGGTCCATGTCTGTATGATAAAGCACAAAGACTCCTCTTTTCCATTTCAAGTATCTGGAGCTCTCAGTTTCCTGAGTAAAACATGCTCCCTACCTTACCCAAGCTGCAGCAATCTAAAGAAAGAAACAAGACATGTCTCAAGCCTGTAGAATCCCACTATAAAACATGACTAGTAGACATTAAAAAAAAAGTTATTTTATTAACTACCCCCTGCTCCACCTCAAAAAGGAAAAAAAACCAAGAGAGCGTATGAATAACAGGTTTTGCTTACCTCTCTGTCAAATCTGCCAGGTCTTCTCAGTGCGGGGTCTAAGGCATCAGGCCTGTTTGTTGCTGCCATAATGACCATCTTACCCTCACTACCTACACCATCCAGTAGCGTTAGCAACTGAGCAACAGTACGATCTTCAGGAGCATTGTTGGAACTTCCTCGCTTCGGGCATAAAGAGTCAACTTCATCAATAAAGAGAATGGTTGGGCCTTCATATGACATTTCTTTGCCCTTTTCAAAGACTCTTCGCAAATTCTCTTCACTTTCTCCTGGTCTTGAACCATAGAGGGCTGGGCCACTGATGCAAAACAGATACGCACCCACTTCTTTTGCTACTGCCTTTACCATAAGACTTTTTTTTTGGGGGGCCTATTAATAGCACCCCATTAGGGACAGAAAGCCCTAGCTTCTTAAAAGTTTTTGGGAAATGGAAAGGCAGATCAATCATTTCTTTCAAAGACTTTCCCACATCATCTAGTCCTGCAATTGAAGTTTTTGCAGTGTCTTCTGATAAATGTCTGTACCATTCAAAAGTGACCACGTCCTTAATTTTTATGCTTGTTTGGGGGGTTATCAGTCCGGCTTCAGCCATCAAAGGGTCTACAGATAGTATTTCAATACACACCACGGGATTTTCAAGACTTGGGGCAACAGTAACAACATAATGAAGTGAAACATAAACACTTCTTAGCAGTTCTCTGATCGTCTCCTGCAACACTGCTCTGGAAGTCGACTTTTTCAGTGCAGAGCTCTTAAGGACCACTTTCACAGTCGCCTTTTTTAACTGGCGATACGCCAGAAGCTTCAGCTGGCTGACATTCAGCGTGAGGCCCTTTAGGTCCCTTGCACTTACACCTGCGGTTCTGCAAGTCAGATCAAGCTGCAGGTACCCGTCCGCCAAATCGTGCCTGGGCCACGCCGTGCACAGACAGCAGC